TGGAGAGAAAGGGAGACACAGAATCCAAAGCAGCCTCCAGGCTCTGTCAGCACAGAGCCCAATGTGGGGCTTGAACTCATGAGCTGTGAGATCATGACCTTAGCCAAAGTCAGACGCTTAATCAACTGAGCCACCTAGGCACCCCTACTATTATTTTTTTAAGTAGGCTCCACACCCAATGTGGGGCTTGAACTCCTGACCCTCAGAACAAGAGTCACATGCTCTACCAACTGAGCCAACCAGGCACCCCTCACTGCTCCATTTAGAACAATAACAGCTCCAATAACAACACTAGCTCCAAGTTTAGTTCTCCCTACCTTCCCAGCACCCCCAAACCACCATCTCCAAACCTCTACCTTTTGGCATCTTCTTCAGGATATTAAACACCTCACTTTTCTCAATGAGAGTCTTGGCCCGGAAAAAGTGCATGCTGGGAGGGAACTTCTGGGTCCTCATCGCCTGTGTCACCTCAGCCTTTTTGAGGGCCATGAGCCTCTCATTGGCTAGCTCCTCCTGTTCGGTCAGCACCAGCTGCCCCCCCAGCTGCATCATCTTCTCTCTCATCAACAGCTGGTTCCATGCTTCATCTATGGATATGGCTGAGCAGAAAAAAGGCATCGCCACGGCCAGAAGCAGGGAGAGCAGGGCTGGCCACCCAGATGGGCCATCCACAGGCATTGGGATGCCTGGAAGAGGAAATTGCTCAGATGGAAACCTGGCAGGACTAAAGAAGGGAGTAGGTCAGCAAAAATGTGCAGATTTAAACGTCAAACTCTGATTTTCCTTCTACCACTCTGTTTTCAGATTACCAGGAGGCAGCATACAGAAGGGTTCTTCTCTGAGACCCCAGAGGAAAGACTTCCAAGTACAGACATGGAGGGGTTTCCCAAATAATAAGTCACCATAAGGCCTTCTTTAAAAAAGTGGACCTTTTCAGTCAGCAAGCCCTGCTCACACATAGAGGAAGACATTGCAATCAGATTTTTAGTGTTTCACTTTTTTTTTAAATGTTTATTTATTTATTTTGAGAGCCAAACAATGAACCGTGAGATCATGACCTGAGCTGAAATCAAGAGTCGTTGCTTCCACCAACTGAGCCACTCAGGCACCCTGAGTGTTTCACTTTTAAATATCACCAGAGAGTAAGAGATCACAAGACATATAAAAAAGCCTCTAACGTGATAAAGGAAATTAAAAACAAACAAAACAAACAAACAAATAAACAAACAAAACCACACATGTACAGAGAAGGAAGACAAGAGAAGGAAATAAAAGAAAAATTCAAAAGAACCATACTTAATATCCTAAGAAGGATATGAAAAGATATTGTGCCCATAAAACAGTTACCGAGAATTATTATTATTATTTTAATGTTTATTTATTTATTTTGAGAGAGAGTGTTTGAAAGGGGGAGGGACAGAGAGAGAGGGAGAGGGACAGAGAGAGAGGGAGACAAAGGATCAGAAGGCGGGCTCTGTGCTCACAGCAGAGAACCCAATACAGAGCCTGAACTCAGGAACTGTGAGATCATGACCTGAGCCGAAGTTGGACCCAACAGACAGAAACACCCAGGTGCCCCAGCCACAGGGAATTATAAAAAATAAGCAGCATGAGGGGTACCTGGCTGGCTCAGTTGATGGAGCATGCAACTCTTGGTCTCAGAGTCATGAGTTTGAGCCCCATGCTAGGTGTAGATTCCTTAAAAAAAAAAAAAAAAAAAAGGGACACCTGGGTGGCTCAGTTGGTTAAGTGACCAGTTCTTGGTTTTGGTTCAGGTCATGATCTGACGGTTCATGAACTTGAGCCCCAAGTCAGGCTTTGTGCTGACAGTGCAGAGCCTGCTTGGGAACCTCCCTCCCTCCCTCCCTCCCTCCCTCCCTCCCTCTCTCTCTCTCTTTTTCTCTCTGCCCCTCCCCCCACTTGATCCCCCTCTCTCTCAAAATAAATAAATAAACTTAAAAAAAAATAAGAATAAATTTCAAAATAGGGGCACCTGGGTGGCTCAGTTGGTTGATTTCAGCTCAGGTCATGATCCCAGGGTTGTTGAATGGAGCCCCGTGTCATTAAGATTCTGTCTCTTCTCTCTCTCTCCCTCTGCCCCTCTCCCCCTTTTCCTGACTCTCTCCCTCTCTCAAATAAAATAAATTAAATAAACAGAATGAGAAGAGCTTTTAGAAATTAAAAATACAAGAGCTGAAATCTTAAAATTTACTAGCAATATTATAAGATGGAATTGAAGACCATCTTTTAGAAATTAAGATGAAATAAGAGAGAAACAAATGAGATGATTATTGGCTCAGGAAATCCAACACCCAAATAACAGACATATCAGAAGAAAAAAAAAAGAAAAAGAAAAAAATAGATTGGAGAAAAAAGTAAATAAGTAATACAAGAAATTAGACCAGAATGTAAGACCTGCATCTCTGGATTGATGAGACTCTCTGGGATCCTATCACAGCACGACAATTACTCAATAGTCACACCATGAGATATCATCTTGATATTTCAGAACATTAGCATTCAAAGATTCTAAAAGCTTCCTAAAAGCTGCTAGTCCAGGTTGGCAGTGAGCAAGGATTGAACAGCGGAAGGAAAGAAACTCACCTTTAGTGGTCTCCTCCTTCTAGACACTGTTAGCACTTTACCTGCTTATCTATTTGAATTACATTTATGAAATGTGGGGCACCTGGCTGGCTCAGGTAGAGGAGCATGAAACTCCTGATCTCAGGGTCATGAGTTTGAGCCCCATGTTGGGTATAAAGATTACTGAAATAAATAGATATTTTTTTTTAAAAAAAGGAATTGTTTCTTCATACTTCATAGTAGGATATGGTATCCTGGAAAGAATCAAGACTATAAATTGGAAGACCTCAGGATCAGTCCCAAATTAGGATGTCTTTAACCATGAGACCTTGGACAAACTGTTTAGTGTCTATGGGTCTCAGTTTTCTCATCTGTGAAAAGGGCAAATTATACTAGATCAGTGGTCCTCAAAATGTGATACATGTATCATTAGTGAACATGATATCACTGTTTAGGTTGAATAAAAAAATTTAAAAACAAGTTAATTTAAAGAAAGATATGAAATAAATAGAAATGCGGGGATATGATGAAAATGGAAAGCTTGCTAATCATTGAAATACATTATCTCCAAGGTCCTTTCCAGGGCTAACATTCAATTATTCAATGGTACATCAGACACCAACAGGGGATTTTAAGAAGGAACTGGACACTATTTACTCTAGTACCACAGCTATGGTAGGGTAGCTACCCGAATCAGAGAGTTGGACTTTTGAGGAACCCCCTCAATTTCATGAAGTCTTTGACTCTGTCTTGAGGCTACAGTGTTTGCCAACAGCTGAATCCTCTAGGACAAGAGGAGAGTGACATTTGTGTCACCATCCCACCCATCTCATGCTGTGTCTTCCAATCGACAGCCCCAGCCCCTTTCCCTCTCTCCTTACTAACACATAACAGAGGCCACTAAGTTCCTAAATCTCCAACTCTGTCCTCTCCAAAGACACCAGAAGTAGCTGTGTGCCCCAACATCTAGCAACTTCTCCTGGCCTGACAGATAAAAGTTTATCTAACACTGGTCCAGGACCAGCCTGCTCAAGCATAAGGAGAAATAATCCCTGTGATAATTACTGCTATGCTTACTTCATCTCTCTCCTCATGAAAAGTTTCTTTTACTTTTAAAAGAAGGTGCATGAAAACTCTATAAAAATAGTTTGTTCCCAGATTAAGAACGAGGAAACGGACCATGTGCATCTGTGACTCTGAGTGAATGTCCTTGGGCCCACAACCATTTTCAAAAGCCTGTTGTAGAGAAAGGCTATGCACTTCCTCCGCACCGAAAGTCACAAACTCACCTAATGTAGGGGGCAGGGAGGCTGCTGCCAGGGAAACAAAGCCCGAGTGCCCAGCTTCCCAGCTACCTACTGGAACCTCATGAGCTAGACCCCCACCCCAGAGGATCCCAGTTACCTCAGAGCAGCTCCAGAAACTGCAGACTGTTTGCTGAGTCCCCCGACAGCTGTGTCAGAAGCACCAGAAAAGCTCACCATCCTCTTTTCACTTCCTGTTGGGGCAGGTTTCACTTCCTCTCAGCCTCATGTTGCTCGGGTCTCCAAAGAGAGGCAAGGAAGATAGTCTGGCAGAGCTGAGGCAACAAGTAGGCCTGCATGTATGGGTTTACGTTTGTGTGCGTGTGTGAGCATTTATGCACTTGTGGGGTGATTTATGTGTGTGTTTATATGTGTTCAGGTGCATTTTGTGGCAGGTTTTTGTGTACATCTTTGTGTGTGTGCATGTGTGTGCATGTGGGTTTATGCATGTGGGGATTATGTATATGTTTGGGGGGGCAGTTGTATGCATCTTTGTATGTGTCTATGTGTTTATGTGAGTTTATATGCACGTGTGGGCTTATGTATGTTTTGGGGGAAGATATATGGGTGTTTGTGCATGAGATGTCATTGTAGGGTCCAGAACATAGCTTAGACAACAAGCGCCACAAAGAGGTACTCCAAAATCTGCTCATAAACTTTGGGCAGTATACCCCTCCTTAAAATGTGACTGTCAATTGTGGGGCAACCCACTAAACAGCAGGTAAAAAAGTAGATGTAATAGAAGGTACGTTTTAGGGGGAAAATCAGGGATCTGGAAGCACAGCAGTTGAGGAAATAAGGAGGGGTGAGGCAGGAGCTAGGGCGTAAGGAGGAGAGGCCAGAGGCAAGAGGGATAATGGCTCCTGAGGGAGAGCTGAGAGAACTGAGCCTGGCCATTCGTAGCTGTATGGCCTTGGCCTTGTTATTTAAGCTCTCTGTACTTCAGGGGTGCCTGGGTGGCTCACTGAGCAACCAACTTGGGCTCAGGTCATGATCTTGGGTTTGTGAGTTTGAGCCCCACGTAGGGCTCTCTGCACTCAACACAGAACCTTCTTCAGATCCTCTGTCTCCGTCATTCTCCGTCTGCCCTTCCTGCTGGTACGCTCTCTGTCTCTTTGTCTCTCTCAAAAAAAAAAAAAAAAAAAAAAAAAAAAGACTCTCTATGCTTCAGTTTCCTGATCTGAAAGTGGAAGTCATAAAAGCAATGACTACGTGGGTGCACTGTGAGAATTAAATGAAGAATGTGTGCAAAGTGCCTGGAGCATAGTAAGTTCTCAAGAAACAGTAGCCATTACTATTATGGGAAATAACTATCGTGATAGATCATCCAGGTCAAGGTAAATAAGACATGTGAGACTGTACCAGTGACTTCTACAGCACTTGCCTGCCATGTGCCCCTCTCCTTCCCAGCCCTGTCTCGGGCCGTCTGCCTCCAAAGATACCCACAAATCCTCCAGCACTTCCACTTCTGCATCTCCTGAACAACTGGAACTTCAGGGGCCCCTGACATCATCTTCTCCAAACAGTAAAAAGGTCATCTGTTTCATAAACAGCAAGAAATTCGCAAGTGAAAACACAGAGGAACTAAGAATTCCCTCATCACAAGTTCAACATTAACTTGTTCAAAAGTCAGTGAAATCAAAAGAAACAAACAGGTAGTAAAGACAGACAAAATTGACTAAAGTACAAGGGTAAGAGGGCAAATTGCCAAATTGTGAACATAAATCACTGGAATATTTTTTAGGATACCAGATCAGAATTAAAGACAAAGCTTTTCTTGGTGCATCTGGG